GGGAATTGGGGAGAGCCTGGGAATTGGGGGGACCCCGGGATTGGGGACCCGGGAATTGGGGACCCCGGGATTGGGGGAGAGCCTGGGAATTGGGGGGACACGGGAATTTGGGGGGAACCCGGGAATTGGGGACCCGGGATTGGGGCGCATCCCGGGGATTTTGGGGGGTTCTGAGAGGGAATTTTGGGGCTTCCTGGCTGAAATTTGGGGGTTCCCAGTGGGATTTTTGGGAGTCACAGTGGGATTTTGGGGGTTCTTGGTGGGACTTTGGGGTCCCTGGCTGGATTTTGGGAGACCCCCGGGATTTGGGGGAACCCCTGGGGATTTTGGGGGTTCCCGGTGGGATTTTTGGGGTTCTTGGTGGGATTTCGGGGGACCCTTGGGGATTTTGAGGGTTCTGAGACGGAATTTGGGGGTTCCTGGTGGGATTTTGGGGATTTTTGGTGGGACTTTGGGGGTTCCTGGCTGAAATTTGGGGGTTCCTAGTTGGATTTTGGGGTTTTCCAGTGGGATTTTGAGGTTCCCTGTGGGATTTTGATTTTCCCTCTGGGAATTTGAGGTTCCCTGTGGGATTTTTGATTTTCCCCTTGGGATTTTCAATTTTCCCTTTGGGAATTTTGGTTTTCCCTGTGGGATTTCTGATTTTCCCTGTGGGATTTTGGTTTTCCCTGTGGGAATTCCGTTTTCCCCCCGGATTTTGGGGCGCTGACCTCGTGGAAGAAGGCGGAGGCGAGGAACACGGCGGCCTGGGCGGCCCAGCGGCTCACGCCCCGGCGCAGCATCGGCTTGTAGAAGTGCCTGCGCCCAAATTTACCCAAAATCCACCCAAAATCCACCCAAATCCACCCAAAATCCACCCAAAAACCCCCCAAAATCCAGCCTGCGCCAAAAACCCGACAAATCCGCCCAAAATCCACCCAAAATCCACCCAAATCCACCCCAAATCCACCCAAAATCCAGCCTGCGCCAAAAACCGACAAATCCACCCCAAATCCACCCAAAATCCACCCCAAATCCACCCAAAAACCCCCCAAAATCCAGCCTGCGCCCAAAAACCGCCAAATCCACCCAAAATCCACCCCAAATCCACCCAAAATCCAGCCAAAATCCAGCCAAAATCCTCCCAAAATCCCCCCAAAATCCACCCCAAATCCAGCCTGCACCC